AAAAAAAAAAAAAAAAAAAAGAGAATGAAGAAGCCTTTTACAGTATCAATAATCAATTTCCTAGAACCTAGACTAAAATTAAAATGGAAAAAGTATTATTTAGGGGACCAAGATAACACTATCAAAACAAGAATCATAATTAGTACAATGTAAGAAAATTCATTAATTAGCTTGGCCATACTGAAAACATCAGTATTAATTACCAACAAGATACATTTTTACACCATTCCCCATAAAAGGATCAAAGAAAACATAAATTTTACTTTAGCATTTTTATAAAATCTACAGTCAAATCACTGTAGCCTCAGGAACAAAATGAATCTCCATTAAAAGCATACCTTATAAAAACTGATATGATAGCCTTCCTCTCCAAAAAGAGTTACTAGAGCAATATTACACTTACAAAATTACACGCAAAAATGTCAAGAAACACAGTTCAGGTTGAGCTCTGCTTAATTTCATTCCCTAGGGTAAATGTATTAGTGCATCTGTACAAGAAGGTTGATAATTCAATATTCTCTATATACTTTCTGACATTTTTGGTCTTCATTTTTCAAATTTATGCACTAAAATAAAGAATGTGTCTAGCAACTATGATAGCTTCCTGCCTAAAGCAAAGTATTTACATGTGTCCTTATAAAGCTATCAGAACAAAGTTTTTGCTGATATATACAAAATGGTATGGCAATAGAAATCTTTTATGGAGCAAACTATATTTTCTGAATATACCTAAGACATTTAATTTCTGGCTAAAAGGAGACAACTAACCTTGAACAAGGTCTTTATTATATTTACATTTAAAGCTTACAATTTCTTTTAAAAATATGTTGAGAAATTTACGTCATTTAACTCCATTTAACACAATATACCTAAAATGATAACAAAAGCACATTTGGGTACATCCCATATAATATACCATGAATAGTCAAAGTGCTTACTGAAGTTTAGAATATCAAGTTGGCTAGGTGAGGGGTTACCCTACAACATGAACATCGATTACTGTCAACACTTCTGACACTTACTTTAAATAACCTATTAATTTATTTCTCCCACTAATCTAAGTTATGTTAGGACAGTGAAATCATCAAATTCATAACTATTACCCTAGCTGTGGCCAAAGACCTAGAGTATAAGAATGCTTAAGCAGAATACCTTAGGATTTCTCAGGGCATTAATAGTACTTCTCATAAATTACTCCTAATCTATGAAAGAATGACTATCGTTTGTGAATATGTTTTATCTTTAAAGTTTATAGAAATGTGTACTTCTCTCAAGGTACATTTAAGACCTGCGATATCAACTATATTCAGTCACTGGCCTGGTGCCTAACATGTAGTCAATATTTACTTAGCCTATGTTCATTGTGCTGGCAGGAATAGTAATAATTATTATTACTCCAATGTAAGAAACCCAACACAAGAATTGAAAAGAGGGTCACTACTTCAAATGTAAAGAATTCATCAAAGACAGAGAGAGAGGAGTCTAATGGGTACATGCTAAGCCAGAGATAAAAAAGGACAAAACATGATCTTGAAAACCAGTAGGGAATGACTAGATAATCAGAAACAGTATTAGGATAGAACAAATTAAACTGGTAATATTCAGTAGTTTTGATGTAGGATAATGGCAATTTTAAATAATTAAATTTAGGTAATAACTTTCATCAAAATACCAAGCAAGTTCAATGTTTTCTTAAAATTTTTTAGACATGATTTCAGATTTAAAGGCATAAACAATATTTCTTGATAAATTCTAATCTTAATATTTTGGTTCTATACATTTTGTTTACTCATTTATTCACTCATAGAAATGTTTTTCACTTTTGGTTTGTTTGCTTGATTTTAGGTTCATGCCATAGAGTGTGTGTGCTCACTGAACACAGAAAAAGAAAGGCAGTGAGAAGAAAAGTGAGAAATTGCCCACCCTTGGGGGGTTGGCCATGCACAATCCCTTCTCCTCCTGGGATTTTGGGTATGCATGTATGTACACCCAGAGTGTTTTTCACGCTATCAGATATAGAACTCAAACATTGGTAGGTCATGTGGGACTCCAGTGCCTTAACCACCTTGCCACTTGCTGACCCCATATTGTTTTCTTAATTGGAGGGTTTCTTCACAGGTCCAGGAATTGTTGATGCAAAGATAGTGAATAAAGCAAAAAAAAAAAAATCCCTTATGAAACTGACTCTAGATGCAGAAATGGATAATCCAATCACATTTGCATGTATAAGTGTATAAATTAAATTATGCCATTTGTCAGATGATAATAAGTATAATAGAAGAAAAGAAAATAAGGGACTGGGGAAGGTTGAGAATGGGCAATTATTATTTTTTTCTTTTTTAAAGAAAATGGTCTAGGAAGTCCTTCTTAGAGGATGTCATATAAATGCATACCTGAAAATGGTGAAGAAGAAAAAGAAAATGATAAGCAAAGTTACTGAGGCAGCAGCATGGTTCCCTGCAATGGTTCCCCACAGTCCTGAAAAATCAAAGTGACTTACTTTCTTGTTAAGTTCTGAAGCTTTCTCTTCAAACTCTTCAAGTTTCACTTGATCTATGCAAACATCTAAAATTGGAATGACAGGAAACTTTCAATTGTAATATTCTTAAAATTATCATCGTATGACTTTAAATTTAGAAAGAAAAAAATCATGGAAATAATTATAAATATTGTCCATAATAACAAAATAGACTAAAATATTATAAAATTGGAATAGAAAAAACTTTTCTTCACATTATATCAAGAAAACAGAAAACATTAAGGAAAAGATGAACACAACTACAGCTTTAAACTTATATCAGGCAAGAAGAGAGAAATTCATTATAAAATACATGTAAAGCTTTCTATTGTCAATTCATAAATATTTTGAAAGAAGAGAAAATGGTATATAGTACAAGCTAGGAAAACAGGCAACAGTAGTAAACAAAAAATGGGCCAGCCAGTGGTCTGATGATTAAGGTAGCTGGATCCCACATGGCTGACCATGCAGTTCAAGGCCTAAACCTTGAAGCTTAAAAAAATGCCAGGTGTGTTAGCATGCATCCACAAAACCCTGAAAGGAAGAAGGGATGAATGACAAGGGATTACAATGTGACCATACTTCTGAGGGGTGCTTTCTCACTCTTTCTCTCTCGGTCTCTCTCCAGCAAGTGCATAAGCTCTCTGGCAAAATTAAGAAATAAACAATACAAAAAAAATTAGGCAAGTTGAGACTAAAAGTTGTTAAAACATATGAACAGATATTTGCTTTACCCCAAAATTTGAAAATATAAAAATTTTAATGAGAGGGCTGGATAGCAGCACGGTGGTAAAATGCAATGCTCTGTGAGGGAGATCGACAGATCCACAGAATTTGCCAGTTGGTGTCAGAGACCTCTCTGAATACACAACGCGGGACCACCAGTTGGCCTAATGGCTATGTCACTGGACTCCCATGTAGTTGATCGCAGCTTGAAACCTGGACCCAGTGGCTTAAACTCACACCTGGCACATGTGTGTGCGTGCTCAAGATCCCGAGAGGAGAAGGGAGGAGAAGAGATTGAGTCCTAGCCATTCCCTCTGGGGGGGTGATTTCTCACTTTCTGCCTCTCTATCTCTCCATCTTTCTGGTGAGTGCATGCGCCCCATAGCAAAAATCTCTCCAAAATAAATAAATTAATTAATACACCATGCAAGCATGTGCCTATGGTCCAAGGTAGCTGGGGTTAAAGATTGACCGCAGCATCACAGCCATGTATGGGTTGCCACATGCCTGCTTCCTCCTGTCTCTCTTTCTCTCACTCATGGTATAAATAAACAATAATTTTAAGAATTTTAATGAAAATTCACAGCAAAGATTAAATGATCTATAAATGCTGTGTTGAAATTGGCATGGGAAAACCGTATCTCTTACACAACCATGGAAGTATATGTTGAGAACTTTGCTAATAAAAAAACTAGGCAATAAGTACTAAAATTTTAAATATGCTCTTTGTTTCACCCAGCAATTCTATTTTGAAACTCTGCCTTTAGGCAAGAATGCTCATTAAAATACTGGTTATGCTACAAAAAAAAAAAAAGGAAAAAACTTAAATGTCCATCAATAATGGATGATTAAACAAGTTATGATAGACAAGGGAACTTCGAAAAGTCAATGAAAAATGTAAGATAGAAGCTTATTTTGGTGCAAAAATTTTTGAAATCCATACATAAGTTTTTTCATGACATACATTTTCCATAAATTCTTGGAAACCCCCTGTGTATCCTCATAATGGAATACTATCTAAGGAAAAGTGATTCATATGAATTTTCTATGTTACAGTTGAGCCCTTTTATTTTTAATTAAAGTAATACATGAATATGGTTATAACATATAACAGAAAAGCCTATAATGAAAGTTAGTCATCCAAATCACTGCACCTAAATCCATTCCCATTTCCTAAATGCAACATCTTATAGTTCTTTATGTATTAGATTTTCCTGGTAGCTGACTTCTTACTTCTAAATAAAATATGTATACCATTATTTCTTGACTGATCTATTTAAGACATTATAGATAATGGCCCATTATAAAAGATAGTGTTCCCTGTCTAATCTCATTTTTGATCATTTTTACTTACTAAATTGGCTGGCTCTATAAGCATTAAATAACACTAAATAACTAAATAAGACCCTGTAAATCCTGTAACACAAACAGTATCTCTTGAGTCTCACTATAATATATCAAAGTATCAGTGCCCTATGCTCTAACATCTCTCCCCCTACTGCCCAAGTTCAAGTCTTCTCTCACCTATTCATACGAATACAATGACATTCTCTTCTCTGTTTTCTACATTATGTCTATGAGTTTATTTACTCTAAATATTTAAGATCAAAAAACATAATTTATTAAAACTATGTAAATATGTTTCACTTACATTCAGAGAGTATATTTCCTACTTAGAGTTCAATAATTAAAACTCCTCAGTTATTCGAGAAAAAAACCTCCCTAATGTCCTAGTAAAATAAATTTTTTCTGACATTTTTCAAAATCATTCCACATTTAGTTTGCTACATATTTCAAACATGCTCTTCTTAATTTCTATGTCCTCTTATTGTCCTTCAGGAAGTTCTAATCGCTTCTCTCATGGGGAAAGAAACTTTAAAATCAGTATCACTAATATTACCTGGCTCTTTACTCATTCTATACATTTCATTTTTCTTCCTGAACTCAGATGCAAGAGCACAAAGGAGATAAGTGGAATGAATTCTAGAGCATTACAGCACAGTAGAGGAACGACAGCTGGTGACGAATTTCAAATTAGATTAAAACGAGAATTTCAAAGGTCCACGACACAAAGTAATGATAAATGTTTGAGATAATAGGTATGTTTATTGTACTGATTTGATCACTACAATTGTACTGAATGTTAAAAAATCACATATCACATATGTACAACTATTACATGTTAATTAAAAACTACAATTAAAAAATTCATCACTTAATGGAACTTTTAAAAGTGGTTTGCTGAGTTACACAGATCTTTCAGGTGTTGACACATCCCTTTAGACAATATCAACACAATTATGTAGGTTAATATCACTGCTGACCTCATCAATTTTATTAGGTTTTTTTGTTTGTTTTGTTTTTTCTTTTTAGTTTGTTATTGCTATAGGGTACATGCACTCATCAGAAAAAGAGAGAGAGGAGACAGAGAGAGAGGGTAAGAAATCACCTCTCCGGGGGATAGCCAAGCTACAATCCCTTCTCCTCCATTCCCCTCTTGGGATTTTGGGCACACACACATACATGCACCTGATGTGACATTAAAGCTGCCTGATCTTGGGATTTTGGGCCATAGCCAGCCATGTGGGATCCAGCCATGTGGGATCCAGCACCTTAGTGACCACACCTCAGTTTTGTTTTTCTAAGTATTTAGAAGCTGTCAAACTGGTAGCAGCAGATACAAAGTTTGCAAAATTAGAGTAGTCACAGTTTATAGGACAGTCTTGCAAAGGTGGGGAAAAAAAAGAAAAAAAAAAAAAAGAGGAAAAAGGCAGAACAGCCAGTTCAGCTTTTACACAACTTTTTTTTTTTTTAATCATACTTTGGTACACACCAGAAGTGCTTTATGCATGTGCCCCACTTGCTACCCTGAGTCTGTATTTATTAAAATATAGACTTCAGGGTCAATATGCAATAAAACTTATATTTTCATGACTTTATCAAGGACAGTCTTTTTTCTTTTTAAGAGAGTTTTCCTATAGGGTGCATGAATTTGCTGGAGAGACAGAGAGAGATGGAAAGTGAGAAATCACCCCACCAGGCCGGGGGGATGGCCACACCACAATCCTTTCTACTTCATTCTTTTGGGATTTTGGGTAGGCACACACATGTGCCTACCCTGAGTTTCAAGTCACCAGATCTGAGACTTAAACCACAACCAGCAACGTGGGAGTCTAGGGATGTAACCATTACAGCATCTGCTAGTCTATCAAGACAGTCTTAGGTTAAAACAAAAAAAAAAAAAAAAGGCAGCTTTTGTTTTGTTTTACTGAGTATAAAGATTCGAGTGACTACTATAGTTTAGTGCCACTGCCTCGATTAATAACAAAGTATCAAATTTATTTCCTCTTTCTTTTGCTTCATCGGTGCAAAATTTCAACATAGTAAAATAAACAAATAATGTCTTAGTATGATTATGAAAATTATTTTGACTTGTAGGACTCCCCAAAAGAGTCACAAAGGTCCTCGAGGGTCCATAGGCCACACAATGATCTACATCATTGAGCTGACACAGGAAATATAATAAAAAACAATAATACACTTTCATTTAAATAGAGAAAACTCACCTACAAACTGACTTAAATCTAAATCTAGTCTTTTTCGATATGTAAAGTCTGGATCCATTCCATCTTTATGTAGTACAATCTGGGATATACACTCATCAATTAATTTGAAGTATTGCTGCCTAAAATAAAAAAAAAAAGTAAATGTACATTCAAATCATTAACTTTACATCAAAACAAAACACTTTGGATAAGCTTTAAGTTCAACACTTTCTTATTAATAAAGTTTCAACAGTTGACATAAGAGATGTAACATGTGAGTAAGAGTAAATATAGTTGTCACTTTCATTTTATGATTTCGAGACACTTTTATTTTCTATATTCATTTAGGAAATATGTATGTGCTTTAAAGATGATTTTCACACGAAAGTCAGAATCCTGACTTAATTAGTTGGCAGTAAAAAAGAGATAAAGATGAAGTAATATGTATTTTTTTTTCCCTTTTTACTTATTTTCTTTTGGAGAGGTTTTTGCTATAAGGCGTGTGCGCTCGCCAGACAGATGGAGAGAGAGACAGAGAAACAAAAAGCGAGAAATCACTCCCCAGGGGGGATGGCCACGCTGCAATCCCTTCTCTTCTTTTCTCCTCTCAGGATTTTGGGCACGCACACACACACACCCGGCGTGAGTTTTAAGCCACCAGATCTGGGACGCACACCACGGTTGACTACATGGGAGTCCAGCGACATAGCCATTATGCTAACTGCTGGTCCCAAGTGATATGTATTTTTAAGTAGTTCTCAGAGGCATAAGATGGTGCAACGCTAAAATATAACACTCCATGAGGTTGACCCACATAGCAAGGTTCCACGTTCGAGTTCAGAGACCTTGAGTATACAGGAAACCATCTGCCCATGATCTGGGGTTGGCTAACACTGGGGTTACTTTCAATGTCAAGACCTGTTGCAAGTGGTATCTCTTCCCCACCTCCCCCATTCACTCATGGAAGAAATAAATAGACTTTACAAAAACACAGTGGTCCTCAGACCACCAACTTTTAACTGTAGCATGCTGAAAAAGCTACCATTAATTCACTTTATAAACCAAAAACAACAGAAATGTTCTTCTAAAAAGTTGTACAGGAAGTTCTTCAAATCACATATTCAATAGTATAGTGTTTTCAGAATGTTTGTGGAATCAAATTAAAAATGGATACTGTAAATTATAAATAATATCAAAGCAGTATTTCTTACTCAAAAGAAAACTTGAAAAATTTAGTATAATGTTTGTTGAAAAATCAAAGGTTAATCACTAAAATATTTACACAGGGTTTGTGTTCTCATGACAGTTCTGCTGAGTCCTTCCGCATTTGTAATAACCTAAGGTTAGTGGCATTGGCACACTGGCAGCACAATGCTCTGTATCACGAGAGCCACATGAAAAGGACCTAGGTTCATGTCTGGAGGTCTCCCTGCACACACATGCCTGTGTCCATAACACTGGCTAATGGAAACTGGGTGTGGAATGCAGTGGGTAGACCTTGTTGTGGGTGCCTGACTCTCATTCTTTGTTAGGTACTAAATAAATAAATAAATAAATAATTGAGTTACAGCCTCTGATATCACCCAGAGGATGCAGCCTAAATGAGTCTTGTCTAACATCCTTCTACTTGAAATTAAGTACCCATAGTACTTCAAAATGAAATTTCAGCAAAGCTAAATTGGTGGCAACAAAAACGATTTTATATTCAAAGATTTCAGCTTCCTGATAAAACAAAAACAGAGGAAATAGAGAACATTTATGGTGCACTCATCATTTTTACCAGAATTTGCTAGGACTTTTATCCTTGTTAGCATATTTCATCTTCATAACTCAGTGACTTAGATGCTAATATTCATATATAGGTACATTATGTTGTAGATGTAGTAGAGAGAGAATAATTTGTTAAGCAATGATGGCAAGGATATAATCAAACCTGGAAAACCATTTGTCTATCTTTCCTGATACATTAGCAACTATTAGTATTAAGACAGTTTCTAGCTATTTAAACACTAATAAAAATAATGTTTATAAGCTTTCATGTAGCTTATAAAAAAAAACTTATCAACAACATTCTCACTGCCTAAGGAATAATGAGAAACTATTACTCGTCACATGATAAACTAGTAATTTGTTGCTACTTCACGTTTTTACTCAGATGAAAGGCTGTAACTAAGAAACCAACGGAGTTTAAAAGTAATAGTAATATCATTTTAATATCCTCTATCAAAATGTATGTCCAAAGAAACAACACATTCTATGAATCAATATTATGACAAAAATAAAAATTTTTTGTTTGTCCAAATCAAATTTCAGGTGATTTTCACAATTAATAGGTTTTTATTAGTGAAAGAAAACATTAAGATATAAAATTCTCTTACCTTATAAAATAATCATTTCGAATCAGCAAAAGATGCTGAAGGATAGAAATAAAATATCCCTCTGCTCTAGTTTCCTTAACTGTATTCCACACCATGTTGTAAAGATCATATGCTTCAGTAAGTTGATTAAGGAACACACAGGTTTATGTACACTCTACACCAAATAACTGTAATACTATGGTTATAAAATCTGCTTCGTATGGCTATCAAAGATTATTATGTATCTTACCCTACTGTAAGAATCTTGTGAGTTCAACATAAAACATAGGTATTTAGGGTTGAGGGAGGGGGAACTAGTCTAGAAATGGCAAACTAGTCTGACAAGAGATCTCCTGGCTTTCCCTCAAATCAATCTGCGACGTTTACGCAAAGGTAGTGAGTAGCTAGTTGTGAACACCATATTGAGTTCTAAGAGTATCCTGACCAAAAGAGCTAGAAGGCATTCTCTTTCCCAGAGAAGCCCCATCTGAGGATAGAAACCTGGTGGATCTTGAGAAAAGCACAGAGATCTGCAGATCCCACAAAACTAACATAGGGTGGGGGTACCAGCAGTTAGTGTAATGGCTATGTCGCTGGACTCCCACGTAGTCAACCACGGTTCTAGTCCTGGACCCAGTGACTTAAACTCACGCCAGGCGCATGTGCGTGTGTGCCCAAAATCCCAAGAGGCGAATGGAGGAGAAGGGACTGCATTGTGGCCATCCCTTTCTGTCTCTCTGACTCTCTACGCCACTTTCTGTCTCTCTGTCTCTCTACGTCTTTCTGGTGAGCGCACGCACAACTCAAAACAACAACAACAAACTAACATGACTAACATGGGGCACATATGAGGAAGCACCCAAGGAGCAGAAAAGGAGCAATCAGCAAGCTTAAGCTACCCTATTACTCATGCTAGAAAGCACTAGATGGAAAGGGAGAGGGTGCCGCACATGAAAAGAAAAAGGAACAAATGACACACATAAAACCCAGTCTAACAGAATCTACTTGTTAGTTTCAACATCTATTTACATATGTATGTAGTATTCATAAAATCACACACATTTTAATAAAACAGTAATGTTCTTCTGGAGCATAAAGGTTTGATTTCATATTGTTTATATAAAAATAGGCTAAATATTTTAAAAGGTGCAGTTGATTGTTTTGGATTTAGAAGAAATTTTGCGTATTATTATTTGACTAGACTTTTGAACAAAAGGATATTCAAATTCAGCTCTAATATCTTCAAAACGATGAGAGAACTCAATCAAATCTTCTTCCTTATGCTCATCAAAGACTTTAAGTTGGATATCCAGGCCATCATTCTTAATACATTTTAAATTCTAGAGATAGTAAATAGAAATTATGGTAAATGATTTTGCTTTAATTATGCAAAAGAATTAATGAAAAGCATGCAAACAATAAACCAACCATTCAATTTGATTTATAGCATTCAAACACTTTAAGTGTTAAATAGTACTCAAATCTTATCATCATTTCAAAAATAGATTTTTATACTCAAGCCTTTTCCCACAGATAAATTATTCTTGAGGGTAATTTATCTAAATTTCCCCCTACTCAAGTACTCTTCTAATTTAAATATTAATAAGGAGACTGCAGGGTACTTACTGGCAGTATCTCTTTCAATCCACAACGCATAAATTCATTTCTGATGTGAAGCCTGAAGTCCAAATCATCAGGAGATGTAACAAGGGCATTGATGAGCTGCATACAAGCAACCTACAACACATTACACAGGGAGATTTAGATTTTGTTTCCAACATTAAAAAAGAACAACAAGTCTAAAACGTCAAAGTTTTGTTTCAAATGTTATGAACTCTCTTCCCTCACAGGAGAATCTATTAAAGCAATAATTTTTAAGTAAAACATTTAGTCAATTATAAATTATAGAAGAAATATAGTTTCACTAGAGTTTTTCTCATCTATTTGAGTGTACATGACATGAAAGGGAGATAAAGAAACACTAGCTATTGGTATTACTACGTAAAACATTTCACTAGTACCAAAAGTTCAATTCTTGTTCCACATTATTCCATACATGTACAAAAAAAAAATTTAACATACCTTATTTGGAAACTGTAAGTATCTATTGGATACATAACACTTATCTAAACAAATAATATAATATTTTTTTCTTTCATCAGGAGGAATGCAAATTTCCAAAGACCTCAAGGTAAATAACAATCTTACATCTGCTCAGTGGGGTTGTTATAACCAAAAACTATACAATGAATACTATATTAATAATTTCTAGAAGTATTTAACCAGATAGTGATTCTAATGTTTTGGCAAAAAAAAATTTTAAATTACTGTATTTTATGTTTACTAACATAGAAATAAATTACACCGCTCAATTTATCCTTTAATACATACTGTAAATGATTAAAATTTTACATTTCTTCAGTAATTTAATATGCCAAATTTCTACTTCTCCATTTTTTTAAATATCCCTGGCTGGCTGAAATATATCTTTCATCATCTAACATGCACACAATGGAAGCAATAGAGATTGTTCTCTAGAAAAGCATTTTTTGCTGTTGTTGATGTTATTTTTCTAAGTCTACATTCTGCCTAAAGAGTAGCAAGAACTACTGGACTGCTGATCAATATGTTTAACCCCATGCTGTTCCCTAAATTGTCTTTTCTCCATCCCTTAAGGCAAAGTTTATATGAATTTAAAATGCCATTTCTGGAGTAAGACACCAACAGGGGTCTCAGTTTTTTTTTTACTGAAATATATAGTAATTGTTATATTTGATATCTAAGCACTAAAATCTGACAGCATGCCTCTACTGTCAAAAACTGAGGTTGTTTAAAGTGGGGGTGAGAAATGTACCCCCCAAAAATAAATAAATAAATAAAAGGAGGGCAAAAAGAAAAACATGCTTAAAAAAAATAAAAAGCAAGCAAACAAAAAACAGTCTTCCTATCTGTTATACACTCATTCAACTGTAACTAGTTTAGGTCAAAAAGTTAACTTTACAATATTTTCCTTCTACTCTCATGCCAGTCATTACAATTTTGACAATAAAATGTTAAAGTGTTTTCTCAAATGTTTTTAACAATACCATGTAACTTTGGAAAAAAAGAATATATAATGTTGCTTCACATTAAGAGAAACTAAACAGTCTCAGTTACCCATCTAATATATACTTAACAGCTGTTTTTCTAGAAAAATGTAATTACAAACAACTCAAAACAACTAGTTAAAGTAAGCTACATAAATCAGTAAAGCTACATTTATCAGTAAATGGGCTAGCAGACAGTATAGTATTTAAGGTACTGGATTCCTACATGGTTGACCGTGGTTCAAGTCCTGGACCCTGACCCTTGAAACTCATGGCAGGCACACGTGTGTGCATCCCCAGAATCCTGAGAGAAGAATGAGGAAGGGATTGTGGCATGGCTATGCCCCCGTGAGTGGGTGATGTCTCACCTCCTAACTGTCTCTCTGGTGAGCACACACATTCTATAGGAAAAAAACTCCCTTAAAAAAAAATTATCAGTAAATATTAAATAAATAGAAAGCAGATAAATGAAGACAATAGTGACATATAATGGAAGAGAAAGAAGCAAAAGGCTAATTCAAACTATTTCTAGGGAATATTATTCCACAAGATAATTCTGAATAAAGGAAAAAACTAGAAATAAACTGAAATAATGAAAATAAGTAAAAATGATAAAATCCCTCTAAATTCTAATAATAATTTGCCATTACCATGACAACCACTCTTTAATTTATATCATGTAAACATATGACTGTGGGTATACATTAATTTTGTACTAAAAATGTCTTTATTGCTTTACAGATAAAAATTTCTAAAACAAATTAATGAATAAAGAGCTCTTTCTAGGACTTTTAGACATATTGAGATAGACGAACCTATGGTTTCATGATTTCACACTGAATGAGCATACCAGCAGAAATAAGTCCCAGTTGAACATCTATGTCATTTCAGTCTATCCCTAGATGCTAAAAGAGGCTGGAACAGGGACCAGGAGTTAGCGTAATGGCTATGTCGCTGGACTCCCATGTAGTCGACTGTGGTGGCCATCCCTCCTAGAGGGGTGATTTCTCGCTTTCTATCTCTCTGTCTCTCTCAATCTGTCTGGCAAGCGCATGCGACATATAGCAAAAACTCTCAAAAAAAAAAAAAGGCTGGAACAAAATTTAACATGACATATTATCTGCCCAAATGAAGATAAACAGGTGTAACGATAAAAATGTACAATGTATCAGAAGAGACATATTTTGGTATATAAAGAAAATATGCACATAAAAAATAAGCACAAAGTTAACTAAACTATAGTACTGACTCAAGGATCAATAGGAAGATGGCTAACAAGCTAACAAAGGGGAAGTTCTAAGCAGAGAAGTTAGTATGTTCAAAGACATGGGTCCTTTCCTTGAATTACACGTAATTCAAATTTTATGAGTAGTCTGTGTGGTGGCAAGAGGCAGAGCAGGGGACGGAGTAACAAAAGTAAGGCTGGACAGAAAAACAGAAGCCAGATGAGGCATATCCTGTGGGTCAAGCCACAAAATTCAGGTAACAGGAAACAGTGTGGTGGGGAGGGGACAGGTTTTGGCTTGTAATTTTTTCCTTTTTTATAACTTTGTAAGGTATTCTCTTCACTTTCACCCTCACCTTTATCTTGCATATAACTTTGTAAGGTATTCTCTTCACTTTCAGCCTCACCTTTATCTTGCTAATAATCCCCTTTCCCCCTTCCATCCAGGAGGCAAGGGGCATGCCTTCAGAAGGAGACTGTGCCGGGAACCAGCAGTTAGCGTAATGGCCATGTCACTGGACTCCCATGTAGTCGACCGCGGTTCGCGTCCTGGACCCGGTGGCTTAGAACTCACGCCGGGAGCGTGTGCGTGCGTGCCCAAGATCCCAAGAGGAGAATGGAGGAGAAGAGACTGCGGCGTGACTATCCTCCCTGGGGGGTGATTTCTCGCTTTCTGTCTCTTTGTCTCTCTCTGTCTGTCTGGCGAGCGCATGCGCCCTATAGCAAAAACCTCTCAAAAAAAATAAATAAAAATAAAAAAAAAGAAGACTATGCCATGATTCCTGAGAACTAGTAATTTTTTATTTTTTGATTTTAAAATTTTTT